TTTTTTTTTTTTTTTTTGTAAAAATTTTTTTTTACCAATGATAGCATTTGAAATGTGGTCGCCAATTTGGTGCACCAAGAATGGAATGTAAAAAGCATGCAAGATTAATGAACGTATAACACATCAGGAAGAAAAAATCAACAATTGGCGCAATACGATCCAATGCTGCTACTAATATAATCATTTCTGCTATTAATACTGTTAAAATTAAGCTGTAAAAAAAGAAAAAAGATAACTTTTTTGTAAAAAAAAAAAAAAAAAAAATAACTAATATATTTATTTAATTAAATACTTAAAATTTTCCATCTAATAATTATGATAATGCATGTATAACATCAACTACAAACTGATAATGTATAATAATTGATATGATAATTTTTTACCATTTTTTTAACAACAAAAAAAAAAAGAAAAAGGAAAATATTTTAATATACCATCGAAATGGTTCATTCCATTGTGTTAATACTTGAAATGAACGTAAAAATGGTAAAACATCATCTTTTGCTATTGATTGTAATAAACGTGGTGCACCTATAAATAAATATGAAATATTTTGCAAAAAAAAAACTTTTTCTTTTAAACAAATTCAATTAATATTATCAAAATTAGCAAATAATTTTATCATTTGACAAAGAAAAAAAAATAGCATAAATATAAAAAATGAAATTTAATTACTGCAAAGACATTGTAATGCAGCTCCAAAACATGATGTAAATGCCCCAATCATAATTATCCATGATGTTGGCCATGCTAATTCAGCTACTACCATACCTGAACCATTCATACTTTGCCCATATTTATCACGTAATACTGGGCCTAAAATTGCATTTATAAATTTTATTGTAATCAAATGTAATTATAAATAAATATAGTAATAAAATATAATATACAATAAACTAAAAAAAAACGATAAAACGATAATTTAAAATTTTAAAAAATTTCGAATCACATATAATAAAATAATAAATGTAATATATTATACAAATATAAGATAGAATTAAATAAATTAAAAATAAAATTTAAAAAAAA